ACGATGAAATAGGAAATATTTTAATTTAATTAATTTAATGATAAACTTATATAGATATAGACGTGATAAGTTTATACCCCTACATTAGTTGGAAGAAAGCAGGGCAGAATGTATTTAACAATGGACAATAACTTACGGTAGTTAAGACTCAGGAAGTCACAATGTGAGAATGTTTCATGTTTTTTGTTAATATTATGAATGATTTTTGTTTGTTATATTTTTTTGTTATGTTAGTTACGTTTATATGTTAGTTAGTTATGCTTTGTTTATAGTTTATAATGTTACTGTGTTGTTTTTCAATTTCTATGTATTTTTATCTAATAAAATAATATTAAAAAAACAAACAAAAAAACTTCAGTTTACTGGATTGCATGAAGTCCATTGCTGATCCCAGTCCCTTTCTGGTTTGGATAATAATAATAATAATAATAATAACAACAACAACAGCAGCAGCAGCAGCAGCAGCAGGAAGAGAGAGCTCCCAGTCCCTTTCTGGTTTAGTATTAGTATTATATGTTAAACAGGAAGAGAAGTTAAGCTTCAGTTTATTGGTTTGTATGCAGTCCTTTGCTGCTCTCAGTCCCTTTCTGGTTTAGAAAAAAAAGATTATTATTATTATTATTATTATTATTATTATTATTATTATTATTTAAACAGGAAGACAGGTGAAGCTTTAGTATGTTGGTTTGTATGCAGTCTTTTGCTGCTCTCAATCCCTTACTGGTTTGGAAAAAAAGATGATGATGATGATGATGATGATGATGATGATGATGATGATAACAAGAAGATGAGTTAAGCTTCAGTTTATTGGTTTGTATGCAGTCCATTGCTGCTCTCAATCCCTTTCTGGTTTGGAAAAAAAAGGATTATTATTATTATCATCATCATCATCATCATCATCATCATTAAAAACAGGAAGAGAGGGTTAAGCTTCAGTTTATTGGTTTGTATGCAGTCCTTTGCTGCTCTCAATCCCTTTCTGGTTTGAAAAAAAAAGGATTATTATTATTATCATCATCATCATCATCATCATCATCATCATCATCATTAAAAACAGGAAGAGAGGGGTGAGCTTCATTTTACTGGTTTGCATGCAGTCCTCTGCTGCTCCCAAATAGTAGAGTGCAAGATTTCTTAGAAGTTATCTCTTGTTGCTAGAAAAGCAGCATCTTTTTCTCTTCTGCTTCAGGCAACTATTCTTTGTGAATATAATTGTGCATTGTATTATATGACCAGTGTGTGCGATGCTTGCTCCACGACCAGCTGTCGGTTAAATAAGTTCTTATCTAATCAGGAAAAAAATGAAAATGAAAAATAAACAGTGGAAGAGGATAGGTCTGCACTCTATTGAAAAGGGGAATTGCTAGACCTAGACACTGCCAGAAATAATAATTGATCTTTTCTTGTTTTTTTAAAAAAGGTGTTCAGGGATGGAGCAGGAAGACAGTCTTGAAAGGCCACATGTTGTGATCTTTATAACAACAAATAAAATTGGTATTTGGTCCAAAAAAAGGGAACTTTTCCAAGTTCTGAAGGCAATTCCTTGCCTACAGCCAGCACTACCACATTCTCAGTTGAAGAAGAGCTGGATCAAGGAAATTTGGATTGCTGTCTCAATCTATTCAAGTTTTGAAAGTCCCTCCTGGATCATTTTCACAGTCATTTTTCCAAAAACCAAGCTCAAGTCAATTATCCCAAATTGCTAAGACTGGGATTTTTTTGTAAGAAAAAGTCTATGAAAGCTTATGCTACACAGGTATGGATCAAATACAAAAAAAGAAATTAAAATATACGTATAAGAAAATCTCACTATGGATCTCTCTGGAAGAAGCCTTTCTTTGTGGAAAGAAACAACAAAAATACTGGATACGATAGGAAGACCTTCTTACGTTAAATAAACAACCAACACTTCAGCCATAAATCCAGGCGTAATCTGGAAAAAGAAGGAATTGTTTGCTGCTGGTTTTTATAAAAGTTGAAGTCCTACATGATGCGATGCGTGGCTACAATGTAGTAGCCAAGCTTTCTGTTACAATCCAGCCCTTTCATTTGTTGTTGTGTTGTTGTGTGCCTCCAAGTCATGTCCGACTTATGGCCATTCTAAGGAGCCAGTGTGGTTTGAGGGTTGGACTACAGCTCTGGAGGCCAGGGTTTGATTCCCAGCTTGGTCACGAAACCCACTGGGTGACCTTGGGCAAGTCACACTCTCTCAGCCTCCAGAGAAGGTAATGGCAAACCTCCTCTGAACAAATCTTACCAAGAAAACCCCATGATAGCTTGTACATTTGGGACTAACTGAAAGAGAGGAATTGGTAGCGTGAGTTTTCCTAGACTTGAGTCTACTTCCTCAGATACATGGAGGATGGATAGATAGATAGATAGATAGATAGATAGATAGATAGATAGATAGATATAGTGAGCCAGTGTGGCATCGTGGTTTGAGTGTTGGACTAGGACTCTGGAGAGCAGGGTTCAATTCCCAACTCAGCCATGAAACCCACTGGTTGACCGTGAGCAAGTCACACTCTCTCAGCCTCCAGAGAAGGTAATGGCAAACCTCCTCTGAACAAATCTTGCCAAGAAAACCCCATGATTGCTTTGCCTTCGGGTCGCCATAATTCAGAAGTAACTTGAAGGCACACAACACACTCACTCATAGACATACACATACACATGCAAGGTGAACCTATCACAGGTTTTTCTTGACAAGATCTATTGATAGAGGGCTTGTCTGGTGTGAGGGGCAGGACATGCCATCCTTCTGCATCCCATACACCAGTGCCACAGCCCCCTTTCACTCGATGGGTATTAAGGACATGGTGCCCTGATTGTAAATGTGAACATGAAACAAGTAAGAGGGCATAAGAAGAGCATAACTGCCTACCAGGGTGTAAGCTAAAATGATAACAAATTGGAATCAATCCGGTGGACAACGTACGACAGGTGAGATCCCACATGTGGAGGTACGCATCAATTGCGCCACGCAACCCTGGCAGCGAACGGCAACCTTGCACAGCTGCACCAAGACATCAAATGTGCATCCATGCACAATGACCTTGGGCAAGTCACACTCTCTCAGCCTCCAGAGAAGGTAATGGCAAACCTCCTCTGAACAAATCTTACCAAGAAAACCCCGTGATAGCTTGTACATTTGGGACTAACTGAAAGAGAGATGCACAATGGCACCACATGCACAACTCTGCTTCTGCAACCTTCCTCTGAATTTGCATTGGACGGGGAATGCCCAACTACTTTCAACTTACGGCAACTCTAAGATGAACCTATTGTGGGGTTTTCTTAAGGTTTGTTCGGCCTTCCTCTAAGGCTGAGAGAGTGTGACTTGCCCAAGGTCAGCCAGAGGGT